TTTAAAATTTTTAATATCAGAATCAAAATTGAAACATGGTGTACCATGAACTGTGATGGAAGGAGCCCAAGGACATTTTAAAGTGTTGATTATCACATTTTTATATCAGAACATCTCTTCATTTGAACACGCTTCCCCGGAGAGACCTCCTCTTCACACAGCCCAACATTTTATTATCCGAGGAGAGAGAACGCCGAGCAGGACGAGGTGGGAGGAGAAGGAGGAGGAGAAGGACAGACTGACATGTGCTTTAATAAAACAACTCATAAACACGAGAAGAAAAAAGAAAGAACTTGCTTCGCTAAACTGAATCTCTCACGCCCACATCCACAAACCCACAGGCAAACACAAACTCTGTATGTGTGTGTATGTGTGTCTGTGTCCCTAAAAATAAGGACATTTTAGTCATTTTCTTTTAGCTGACTTTGATTTCAGCTCTACCCAGCAGTGCAAGAACATTTCTGTTTCTTTATTGCCACAGCTGGTAAAGATTTTTGATCCACAATGTATAGGCTTTAGACTTTATGGATGTAATTATAACGTCATTTATGTTTAAGCTTTACAACATTAAACATTCAGAGACTGATTTAGTCCCTGAATCAACATAATAGCTCACCTGCTCAAGTATCTTCTATGACAGTTTTCATTTCAGTAGCAGAAAACAAATTAGTACTAATTTGACCAAACCTGACTTTCATGTATCAGGTACGTGTGTGCATAAGTAGAAAAACCAATGAGGCATAACATTATGACTGCCTGCCTAATATTGTGCTGGTCCCCCTTTTGCTGTCAAAACAGTCCTGACCCTCCAAGCCATGGACTGCCCTATACCCCTCTTGTCTATGAGAACAACTGCAAATTTCAGTCACGCTTGAAGGTGTTGGGGATTCTTTCTTGGTCAGCACTCTTTCATGGACCCACTCAGTCCATGTAAAACTCGCTTCACTGTGGGCAGTGACACAGATTCCAGTTTCCAGTACATGACAGGATTGGGCCTTGGTGGTTCCTGGGTTGTTCTTGAACATCCTAACCAGGTTCTTCTAATCTGACAGTGACAGTCTGGGTCTTCTTTCAGGTCTCAGTAAAGCAATGACACATCCAATTAACTTGTACTTATGTACAGTTGATCAAACTGATGATCTTGGAATCTGCAGTTGTTGTGAAATGGCTCCAAGAGACCTTCCCAACTTGTGTAAATCTTCAATTCTCCTTAGATCTTGACTGAATTCCTTGAACTTTTCCACTGTTCTGAGTATTGGTCAGTGTGTCAAAATAACCTGCTGACAAAGAGACACTACCAGTTGTAGTCAGGCATCGTCATTAACAACAAGGTAATAAGCCATACCACTGTCATATTACGCATTCAAAAGCATTTTGAAGCATTTGACTTTAAAAGGTTTAAGTGAGTGTATGTATATATTTGGTTTGATTACCACTCCTGTGGTAATAGGAGTGGAAAAAACCCAAATTCAAAGATGAGGAGGTGCGGTCAGTACTTCTGTCTTTGTTTTGCATGCTTTTCTCACCCTTTTACATAGCTAACACATAATGCAGATTCAGTGTCAAAGCCTGCCAATTTCTGGACTCCTTAGTCCAGACTGTTTTGATCAGTGCTAGTCTCACTTTGGTGGACTGACATAGTTCATCTTCAGCCACTAATACTAAAGGAACAGTTGGTGTGTCACTGCAAGTACATTTACACGTGAAAACAGCCACTGATAAAATCTGGTTATTTTAATATTGTTACTTTTAAAGTTCCTATTGATGACAAATTGTTGACCAAACAACCAAGCTGCCTCCTTCACCATCATCGGCCTCTGTTTAGTAAAAAATGCAGCTCCTGATTTAAATGGCCTTCAGTCTCTTTAGATTCCTGCTGGGTTTTCACTTCACTGTCCGGAGGCATACTGAGTCTCTTTCTTTCTTGCCTGCCGAGCCCCTGCTGTGACTTACCACCGATTACATTAATCCAACCATCATTACTCCCTATTTACCCACAATTCATAGCATTACTGCATCCCCGTGCCTTTTCAGCACTGTCCACGTGAATACCGCCCTGCAGAATCCAACAGGCCCCCATGCTGACTGACAAAGCGTAACAATGTCTCACGCTCACAGACACAATGTGCTGTAATTTTCGATATACAAAGAATGAAAGAAAAGTTCAATCAGATGACAAACAACTCAAAAAGCAGGAAAACCATTAAGCAAAATCTTAATACTGAAATAATATAAACTTTGTATATGTAAATGCTGATGTCATACTCTCATAGAAGAGAGAGAGAGGTTGCCATGGTGACTCTTTGTTCAGTATCTCAGTGTGCTGCTTGGAGATGCAGAGATAATTGGATCATAAATAAAAGGGAATCAAAACAATGAATCAGGTGAGAATTTAGAGCAGACACGCATACAAACAGGTCAAAAAGTGGTGGAAAAATGAGGGCTGGGTGCTCGTATAAATGATTTGGTTTAACGAACATACTTGTGTGCTGTAGTGAGCCACTTTCAATTTAAATGGTGGCACGCTGGTGACACCACCTTTAGACTGAGATTTATTCTACACCCTGATAAATAAGAAAATGTTTTTTTATAGCATGTACATTGTATAAAGTTTCTATTAACCCTAACTATGATCTTTTCTTTGTTATTTCTTTCAATTTCTTCCCTGAACCTTTACCAACTGACCCAGTGGCCATAGATACTGTAATTACTTTTGAAGTGACTTACTCCAACATTTTAGAAATGTTTACATGGACATTTCCAATGCTAGGAACTGTAGCTATCACTATATCATGGCTTCATCGCTTTATTGTTGTCCTATAAAAGGTTACAATATATCATCATATCTATAGAAAATACAAATAAGACAAATAAGTTTCACCATTACAAATGCTTCTTATAAAATGTACAAAACAGTAGTACAGTTTTACAAATAGCCAATAGTGTACGGTTAGTAGTACAGGAAAACAGTGTTGTTGTCTAATTTGTGTTGTACAGTTATTTCATTTTTAACCTTAATTTATATTTTATTCCTTCCTAGTTAAATTTACCCTTTTTAATTTTTCATATTTATTTCCTATCTTATTCATAGCCTTTTCCTTTTTTGTTTTCTTTAGGTCACGAGCAGTTGTCCAAGCATTTCACTACATATCGTACTGTGTATGACTGTGTACGTGACAAATAAAATTTGAATTTGTTGTTGAATTTGAATTTGTTGTTGTTTTCACCTGTTTCAAACCAAGACTACCGTAATTGTCGGGCTATAAGCCGCTACTTTTTGCACAAGCTTTGAACCCTGCGGCTTTTAGTCAGGTGCGGCTTTTCTATGGATTGTCCATGATTTTTGTCATATCGTAAGACGATTCCCAGATAGCAAGGAAACATTGAAACAATGTTGAGTCAATATCAGGCGATGTCATTGAATCAACGTTGAAGTGTGACGTTGACCTAACGTCACTCTTGCACCCTTTTTTAACATTGAAACAACGTCAGGTTTTGATGTTGAATCAATGTTGAAACCTGACATTGCTTCAACGTTATATTTTCTAATACTGTTGACATTGAAACAATGTCAGATTCTGATATTGAAACACTGTTGAGCTATGGTGTTGATTTTCCACCTCTTTCGCACAGTTGCTTTTTATTAAAACAGTTAAATCATGACTGGAAATCTACCTTTCTTTATAGGTATTTTAACCAATACTAAACTACTGCATGTTTCCATCAATACTTAAACCACCTAAACACATAATTGTACTTATTCCTCAAATTGGAAACCCTTTATAAAAACAAACACAAAACAAATGTCTCACAATGTATCATGTCAATATTAATATCCTAAAATAAGAAAGCATTGCATGTGATGTAACAGAGAAAAAAAAGGTCAATAGGCATGTTTCGTTTGCTAAATACTTTATTAAAAGACAGTTTCCTATTTACATTTATATGTTTCACAGAAGTTTGTAATTTTTTACTCTGGGATGGGGATGCATGATGTGTGTCCTGCACCACCCAAACGATCTGGGGCGTATCGGAGCCATTTCTGCACTGCTTGTGCAAAGACTAACTCAGACATAGAGTTTGCCCCTAACTGCTGCGTCAGACCATCTAGGACAAAAATACACACACACACACACACACAAACAAAAAAAGTGAATTAGAGCACATGAATAAGCTCTTGTTAACTGTCTTCAGCGGGGAGAAAGTATGTAAACTCCTAGGCTGATAAACATGAAAGTCAAGAGGCGTAAATCTGCAAACTGCCGCATTTGATTCCCAAAGAGCTATGAGCGGAAAAAGTGATAAGTCTTAGCATGGTGTGCCATGTATCCTTTAAAACAAAATAAACATGGGGTCCTCGGGCTGTACAAACTACAGCCCGAGGACTAAACAAGCCAAAGACCAAAGACTCCATCTCCAGATTAACCGGACATGAAAGTCTTGTTATTAAGAAAGACAAAGTAATATAGCAAAAAAACAGTAAAACTTACCAAATATGTATTTGCAGAGCGCTGTAGCTTTAAATGCTCTTTTTTGCTTTGTCTGGTCCTTGGTTTTTTTCCCTGCCCAAGTACCGAGGCCAGCTCGTTTGTAATGGCATTTACACATTTAAATCCCATCTGACAGCTATTACACTTTATAGTTACAAAGTGTACATAACCTTTATATACTTACCATTGCCTTATTTGCCTCTTGTGATTGAAGAGCTGCCTCTGCATTGTTTAGCTCCTCAATGTTGTGCAAGGGCAAATCCAGAGGCAGTACCCCAGCATCTACCGATTCATTGTAGCCGGTATTGCGGATGGCTCTGACCTCCTCACAGAGTTCGCTAACAGCTCTCGTCAGGTCTGACAGAAAAAGATAATTTTTTTTAAGTATTTAAGAATACAGACAACTTGTCAAAAGTTTCCTTGTGTCACACACAGATATGTACAAAGACACTAGACAGTATTTTATTACCTGCTATTTTCACTCGAGGGGCCTGGGGAAACCGTTTTTTGGTGGGCTGCTCATCCTCTGAGTCACTATATGTGTACAGGGGATTTGGTCTAAAGAAAAAAAGTTGAAAATGGTCATAAGTAATTACAAATGTGCTTTTGGAATATTATTTCCTAAAGTTACAGTTTGATTTATAACAACACACACAGGAAACGGAGATGTGCAAGAAGGTACAGTATACAAGGAATTTTTGAAGTGCACAAGTGTACACGGCTTTGCATTTATAAAAAAGTTTACAAGCTTCCACTTTTTGGACTATATTATGTGGTGATATTGCAGTATGCAAGCACCACAGATATGTATAAAAGACAAGATCATAAATTCTTAGCAATCAAAGATATGTTTATGAAATAAAAAAAGTTTTACTTGTGCTTTCTTTTATGACTGGTCTGAGTTTCAGCTTCGGACTGAAGGTCAGACGTATCACAGTGTTCACTTAGATATTTCTGAAGACTGCGTTCTGCTTCGTGAAATGTGTCTGGAAGTACAAACACAATGTATGGCCAGACATAAATTAGGACACGAAAAACTTGTTATTGTTACATTTATACAACACCAATCCAGATGATACCCACCATGGCTTATTAGAAGTCGGACTGGTGCATAGGTGAGCCATGTTGCACCAGGATGAACTCTCCTCTTTACTGCGGCGTGGATCCTGAATGTGTCTCATGGAGGATATGGAGGCCATGACAATTTCTCCCCATTTATCCATGAACTAGGGACTATTTCTGTACCACCAGTGTTAAACTGCACAATGCACCAGTCTTTCATTTTTATCTTTTTTTTTAATTTGGAGTCCTTTTTTGCCCTGTCTAGGATAAACAGGAAACAGATAATTACAATATATTTCATAGTCACTACAAAACTTGATCTATTGATTGAACTAAATAATAAATAATAGCTTAAAATGTATATAGGCAACAATTACAAGCAAACCCGATAAAACATACTCTTTTTTTTTTTTTTTTTTTTTACATACAACTGCGTGTGTATATGTAAGCATTTAAACACTGAAGATAATAAAATTAACTGTATTTTGTCTAAGTCTGCCATTGTAGGAATTCATGGCACCGAGACAAAAACTTGGCGCACAGTGTGGCGTCAAAATAGGCGCACACCTTTGACGCTGCGTTTTCTCTGTCTTCCTCGTCCACACGTAAATACTAAAACGGAGTTTTCGAAAATATCCGCCCTGGCAGGCGTCTTTAATAATCTCAGTTTTCAGTTAACAAAAACGCAGTTTACCTGTGGACAAAAGGTGCAAACGCAAGGTAGGTGAGCGTGCAACGTAAAGTTAGGTGAGCGTGCAACGTAAAGTTTGAATTGAGTGCAAATCGAAGCGGGTGCTCCAATCATTAAAAGTAACAAAGTCATTGAACACATTTATACAGTTACCTTTACGTTTATCAATCATATTTACAATTTTTTGTAGTACTATGCTAAAAAGCAACTACAGAGCGAAAGTCTGGGTCAAGCGTCGAGGCGACGGCAAGAACAAAGGAACCCTCGAAGCGTTAAAGCTAGCTTTGTAAGGGAATATAACGGAAAAGTATGAAACAAAAATGTTTTCTTTGTTGATAGACTTTGTTCGCAGTGCAATTTATTTGTTGCCGGATTGTAGATTAAAGCTTTGTAGTCCGGGAAATACGGTACTTGGATCATCTGTCATGGTGGAAAAACAAAGATATAAAGAGAAAGTATGGATTTGGGGGAATTCTGATCCATATTCTACCTCAGCAGCTTTATTTAAATCTCTGAATGTGGTGAAGAACAAGAAATTGTTCATCCTTAAAGGTTAGTGCTACATAGCTAGCGCAAACTAATTACAAACATGTAAATCTTAAATTTTTCTGACTTGGACTTTGACAGTGTAGAGCCAGAAAAGTTCCTGTAGTATTAGTTTGTCACATTAATGTCTCACCATAACAGTGAAGCTGAGTATTTTTCCAGTGTCAGGTAAATAATTCCTACAATTTAAATGAGCCACTGTTGACAGCCTGGGTTGCATTAGTATCGAATAAATGCTGATTAATGCGTCCAAGTTAAACTCGAAGACGTTGAAAAGATGGATGCAGGGCAAAAAACTGCAGTAATGTTTTTCCACCAGGTGTCCCAGTATTCTGACCACAAGTGAAAACTATCAATAGACTGTTTAGTCAAATGTACTTATAAACAAGAAACATGTACACATAATATGAACCTACATGTAACCTAGGTGCAATGCTGTGGTTTGTTTTGATTTCAGCTGTTACACATAATATTTATAATAGGACAATTCACAGAAACGCAGGAATGCACATGTTACCATTCATTTTGAGGTTAACTACTACACATAATATATATAACTATTAAGGATTTGAGTATTATAAAAATAATTCCCCAAAACTAATATGCCTAAATAATGATTCTTTGACTTCATAAACATATAGCAGCAATTATGAGTAAAATGCAACTGAAATATAGGATCCAAAGGTTTACCACTCCAGTAAATTTAATCTGAGTACATTACGTTATACTTAACGTTTCAAATTGTACTTGTGTATAAAAAAAAAACATTACGTGAAAAATATAAATAGAATCATATTAATTCGGGCATGCATATTTTTTGAGTGTAAATGTTGATAATCCTGGTACCCTAAGCAGTTTGATTAATTACCACATCTAGGAGGAGACAGGAAACACAAGTATGCTACAATCATTATAATAAGATGAAAAACAAAACATGGTGATTAGTAATTAGTTATTGAAGTTATTAAATTAAGTACCGTTGAAAGTGGTCTTATTTTTAGACCCAGTCTCTTTTTCTATATAAAATATCTGCGATATTGTGTAAGATAAAAAAACGCCGCAGTAATATGTTTTTTTATATCAACAAAGAAGTCACAAATTTCATTTTCTTTTTAATTGTTTATGTCTCCAAATGAAGCTTTGTGTCTTACAGTAATTCCTTTATAATAGTTTTTGAACTATTCCAAAGAACCTGGATATGTCTTCAGGGCTGGACACAACTATAATATATTTAACATGTTGTTCCTGAACGCAGCTCATTGCTTTAAGGAAAGTCGGATTGGTCCTGATGATCTCACCCTGGTGCACTATGGGATATGTCTCAGGGAAAGCTAGGCACTGCCCAAGATTTTGCTGTAATGACTGCCAGTGTTAATAAAAGTTCAAGCTTGGTGCATTTGTGCATACCAGCACTAGTTTACAACACAAAATAAGACAACCACCACCCAACATATAAAGATTTATCACACCAGTTGTTTTTCTGTTGGTGTACTCACACCAGGCCTGTACCCTACGACTGTCACCCTCAGCCCTGCTATGCAATGCTCACACCGCCTTCAACAATTTGGGAGCACTTTCTAAGCTCCTTTCTCAAGTGAGTGGAGCCACATTGGCTGATGAAATGTTTCAAGGCATTCGTGGATGCTGTACTGTTTTGTGACCACATTTTTACCATGAAGATAATCAAGCTAACATGGCTGGAAAAAAAAAATCACACGAGGACAAAAACAGACCACAGAGACAACAGTACCAATGTAATGCTGACATAACAGGACATGAGCTCATGATGCTGAGTGACGATTCCTAAAAAGGTCTTTTCTGTATGCTGGCTGGAGGACGTGGCTCTGAGGGATCAATTTAAATTGCAGGACCAGCAAGTTTGCTGAAAATCCCCACTTTAGTAATTACTGGAGAGAAGGTGAAAAATAACATGCACTCCAGACTGGATTATAACCACTGACATAAAAAGGTCATGTTAAAATACCCTCTAGAGAAATAAATCTCATGCAAATTGGGGTTAAGACTAAAACAAAAAGACAAAAGAGAGGGAAAGTAGGTGCTGTTATGAGAACTGAGATGTTCCCATTAACTACAGCTGACCCAATGACCTGCTGACCCAGCTGCTGTCATCAGCAATCAGTATTCTACTACAGAGGGACGCTCACTGCTGTGCCAGACTGTGTGCTATGACTGTGGTTAGTCATTTCTTGCTGCCTTTTTTACCTGTGTTCCCATCTGATTCTGCCTTCCTGTCCTGGCCTGTGTCATTAATCAGTTGCTCATTTGCACATTACTGAACACTCAAACCAAAAGGAGGCTCAGTAATGAGCCAGAGCAAAATTGTTGTTGTGCCTTCCACCTTTCTTCGTAACAGTTTTATCTGTTATTATATTTAGCATCAAAGTATTTTACTTTAGAGTTATCTGAAGCTAAGACATTGGTAACATTTTTTTTCTCAGTCTCCCTCTACTCTCTTCTTTTCGTATCACCCCCAGTTGGTTGCAGCAACTCCTCTCTGAGCCTGGTTTCTTCCTGTTAAAAGTGAGTTTTTCCTTCCCACTGTCGCCAAATATTTGCTCATATGGGGTCATCTGATTATTCAGGTTTTCTCTGCATTATTGTAAGGTCTTTAAATTACAACAAAGTCCTTAATGCAACTTCTGTGTGTTTGTTACACTCGCTTGGATTTACTCCTTGCCAGTCTGCATCTGTTGTGTCCTGCATTCAGGACAGCATTAAGAACTTCTCAGTTTGGCAAAGATCCTCTCCTCTGGCTGGAAATGATAAGTAAGGTGATGAGTGTTATGTTTTTCCCTACCCTTTTCTACTACAAAGTCAGCATTTTGCCCTTGAGCTGAACTATTTTAAAGAGTACCAGCATTTCATGAAAATTACAGAATCATTAAATAATGGAAATACTGTCGATTTGTATCATTACATTTTTTCCACAAGGGTATTTGGGGGTGATAGGAGGAATTTCATTAAATCCTTTGTAAAGCCGGTTAAAGATGACTTTCAAAGTTTTGTTGTTGAACGGGTCACTGGCAGCAAGATTCAAGATTCAAGATTCAAGATTGTTTATTTGTCACGTGCATAGTTATACAAGTACAACACGCAGTGAAATGTGACCTGATATGCTCCTCAACTGTGCATAAAGAGAGAGAACATTATATTCAGTGAGTCAATATATACAAAGAGGACATTATGAGCAGTAATATTATATACATTATATAAATTAAATAAAATAAAACTAAAAGATTTTGGAGTGTCTGACAAAGCAATAAATAAGTAAACAACTAAAAAGGTGCATAGTCTGTGCGGAGAAGTCAGGAAGGCATCTGGACGTGGCCGCGGCATCTTAACATCTACCTATGTATCTAGAGTTAAAGAAGAGAAAAGACACAGAGGTAGGCACAGTGAACATGAAGTGAACATTGATTTGGCTGTTGCATTCACAAAACAAGAAACCAAAAATCCAAAAAAGTAAAGAAAAGCAAAGAAAAAATGGGGAAAACAAAGTGTGAGAAGCATGAGGAACATGAGGGGAGAACACAGAGGGCAAATGAATGACAGATACAAGCGAGAGGCGCTGTAACTGGACTCTGACAGAGGGGAGCCTAATTTTTCAGACTGACAGGTAACAGGAACTGTGTATTCCATCACACTTGAGCAGTGCAGTGATGCTGGAAGGCAGAGCAGCTGAGGTGAAGATGTGGAGAGATGAACAGCTGCAAAGGATGGTGACAGCAACAACCAACAGTGGACCAAACATTAAAAGGGCCACTTGAGAATCTGACAGTGAGGTAGGGGGCCACACTAATAAGCTTGTAAAAAGGGAAAATTAACACTGT